GAAGTGGAGGGCACAGTGCCCAATGACAACTTTAAGACAGATCTACTGTTAGTAGGCTGGCAAGTGAAGAATAGGCATGCTTTTCTTAGTCACCTTGCTTGGACATCTGCAGCTCTGACCTTGTACATAGCTGTAAGGTTTCAAACTTATGATCTATTTACAAAATGTCTTTAGTTTGATCTTACTCTGAGGTGAAAGTGAGTTCATTGTATGCAGTAGTATGAGTAAGAGAACAAGTCAGGCCGTTAAGAGTTAGCACTAGTTAACCCCTTGTATCTCTCATGGTCCCAGACACCTGCTCTCTCTCTCCCTTCCCGCTGTTTGATTTTCTTCACAGTATTTTACCACCCAACATTGCTTTCTAGTGTAGAGGGTTTATTCTCACCAGTGAATCCAGCCTATTCATGGAATTGCCTCCTTCATTCACCAATGACTGCAAAGGCAGAAGCATGGGACTCCCCTGATGCCAGGATGCATGAAAACGGGGCAGAGCTGAGGTCTGAACTCAACTGCCTGCCTCTAAAGTCCATGCTCTGCCCATGATGCCACTGGCCAGCCCTCATCTAGCTTTACTGGCTGTGTCCTTCCTTGCCTCTCAGAAAGAGGCATATTTGATGATTCTATCCCCAGAGACTAGCTCACACCAGTTACTACTCACAAGGCTTCCTGTGACTTTTTCTCATTTCTACCTGTGTGTTAAGAGAGGAAGCCCATGCCTCATGTTTGAAGGAGTGGATGAAGAAACGCATGTGATAGTATTTTGTACATTGCATGCTGATAAGTTATTGCCACTACAACATGGGTAGAAAAAGGAATGGGTAGATTAAAATAGAAAGTCCAAGCAAAAGATTATAGTGTTGGGGAGAATTGTCCTGAAGAAACTCTCCATGTTGCCTGTCAAACATTCCCATCTAGGAAGGCATGGTGGTACATGCCCATAAATGCCAGCACTCAGGAGGCTGACCCAGAAAGATCTCTGGGAGTTCCAGGATAGCCTGGGCTACACAGTGAATACAATGCCAGACAGAGACCCATAATGAAACTCTGTCTCAAAATATATAAATACAATTACATGAGAAGTCCCCTTTGTCCAACAACAGGATTCAGAATCATTTGCACCTACTTTACAAGATGGCACAAATTTACTCTTTAATTTAAAATATAATTTTTTACATTGAAGAATCTTCTAAGGCCACTGCTCTGCATTTGTTTTAATATTTTCAAAACATCATAGTGAGCCTGTCACAAGCACATTTAGATGTGATCGAAGTTTTGGTTCTCTCCATCCTCCTTTCAATAAAAGATGTTAAGTGAGGAACCACAAGGAGCTGCCAGATGACCATCTGAGGTGAACTGCCTCTGATGCTGAGGATGGGAGGTCAAGCAGTCAGTCATCAATAGTGGCCTTGAAACCATCAACAGCAAAGGCCCATCAGTGCAATCTACCTATACAGCATTCCTAGCCAAGCCACTGGAACCTTTAGGGAAGGGACACTCTCTTAGAGCCACAGCATTTCATTTAGCTCTCACACAGTATCAATAAATACTGACTGGCTATATAACCAGCCTTTGCTTTCTTTTTTAATATGTTGGTAATGAGGCAGTACATCTCTTCCAGGATATCCCATAATACATTTCAGGTGCTCTACCAAATGGTGATCTAGGAGGTAGAATAGTGAAGGGGCTTTGTGGACAGAAGGACAGTATGTTACTCTTGTAGTACTTCTTAACTCTAAGTCTTATATGGATCATGTACCTTCCCAGACCTCAATTCTTTATCTTCATAAACAGAAAATGGTCTAAATGCATGAGAATGAGGAGACACTGCTGGAAAAGGTGAACTGAGACCTTAGTATCCAACCAGGCTGCACATGCCTTCCTCTCACAGAGGCAGAGGGTTTAAGAAACAAGTGTGGAATCTGAGCAACAATGGAGAGGCTACCTTAAATGCCTTTCCCTGGTAATGAGATTGATGACTAACTTATATGCCATCATAGAGTCCTCATCTAGTAGCTGATGGAAACAGAAGCAGACACCCACAGCTAAACACTGAGCCAAACTCCTGGAACCCAGATGCAGAGAGGGAGGAGTGATAAGAAAATGGGGGCAAGACCAGACTACAGAAACCCACAGAGACAGCTGACCTGAACAAGGAAGAGCTCATGGACCCCCAGACTGATAGCTGGGAAACCAGCTATGGACCAACTCAGATCCCCTGAACATGGGTCTCAGTTAGAAGGCCTGGGCAGTCTAAGGGACCACTGACAGTGGAACCAGGATCTATCCCTGGTGCATGAAAGGACTTTGGGAGCACATTCTCCATGGAGGGATACTCCCTTAACCTAGAGGCAGGAGGGAGGGCCTAGTCCCTACTCCAAATGACTTGACAGAATGTGTTGATCACCCTCCCTATGGAGTGTGTGTGTGGGGGGGGGTAATGGGAGGGGTGCCGGGAGACATGGAAGGCAGGGAGGAAGGGAGGGAGAGTAGAAGAGAGGGAGGGAGAGGGAACTGGAATTGATATGTAAAATAAGAAAAAAAGAAAGAAGTATGGAATCATACAGCTGCCTTCAGATGCCGGTTCTAATCTTGATTAAGCACACCTTTCTATATAGGCAAAAAGGAGATGGTCAACAGTGTCTATCATAGGGCTGAAGTCAATATCTGGTGTCTGTATTATAAGAAAATAGCAACTGTTAGCTATTACAATGACTAGTAGTAAGTCTGTGATGAAGGGTAACATTGTAGCACTTGTCAGCTATTACAATGACTGGTAGTAATTCTGTGACTAAGGGTTACATTGTAGCAAGTGTTAGCTATTACAGTTACTGGTAGTAATTGTGATTAAGGGTAACATTGTAGCAAATGTTAGCTATTACAGTGACTGATAGTAATTCTGGGACTAAGGGTAACATTGTAGCAACTGTTAGCTATTACAATGACTGGTAGTAATTCTGACTAAGGGTGACATTGTAGCAACTTTTATCTATTACAATGACTGGTAGTAATTCTGTGGCTAAGGGTAACATTGTAGCAACTGTTAGCTATTACAATGACTGGTAGTAATTCTGACTAAGGGTGACATTGTAGCAACTTTTATCTATTACAATGACTGGTAGTAAGTCTGTGGCTAAGGGTAACATTGTAGCAACTGTTAGCTATTACAATGACTGGTAGTAATTCTGACTAAGGGTGACATTGTAGCAACTTTTATCTATTACAATGACTGGTAGTAAGTCTGTGGCTAAGGGTAACATTGTAGCAACTGTTAGCTATTACAATGACTGGTAGTAATTCTGTGACATCTAAAGGATAACGATTAAGATCACAACCTTTTTTTTCAGGTGCTGAATGTGTGGCACACAGGACAGTGAAGAGATGGAAGCCAAGAAACCTGTAAAAAGATGAAGCAATATGAGGTGAGAGGTGCTGAGAGCCCAACCTGAAAAAGGAAAGAAAGAGGAGAGGGAAGGATCGGATGCCTGACACACAAATTGCCAAGTGCCTTGATAGGTAGCTGGCAGGAAAAGTGTAAGGATCAGGGAGACTACAGAAGAATTTTTGTTTGTCAGCATCCACTTTCACACAGGGAGTTGCTAAAGTCTCACTAGGATGCTGATTTTGTCTGTTCTGTATGGAGTGTCTCTTGTTCATCTTGGAACCAGTGGTCCTGCTATATAACAGACAAGGTTTGCTGGCTAAATAACTGCAGTCCTTAGCACAGCACGGATGCAGCAGGGGGCACATGCCTGTGGATGCATGTGAACACAGTCTGAAAAGACAAAATAGCAACTAGAAGTCCTCTCTGTGCACTGAAGTTTAAGGGAAACATAAACAAAGTCATCGCCAAACTCTGACATGGCAGAGGCATGCAGTAAAATTTCCTATTGCTGACCTCATGAAGTATCCCAGGCCCCAGAGGACTATGAAAGTGTGTGGATGCAGGCTGCACTGTGACCTTAAGGAGGAAATACCAATGACCTTAGCTGACAGGAGTCTACCTTTACAGACTAGAACCTTTACTTATTTCTGTATAGTCCAGTTTATACCACAAACTTCTTTTACCAGGTTGGGAACCTTCCAACAGAACTTTTGTCATGAATGTCACCAGACCTCTGTGGAATTACTTCATCCCCCCCAGGGCTGTTTCCTTCACTGTAACACTGTGGCCTTGTGCCAGGGAACTTTGGTTGCCTATGACAAGTGTCCATTTTCTCCCACCTGGGTGGCTAGTTCCAAAGACTTCCAATATGATGCTGCAAGATGCTCAACAACTAATTCCACTCCTCCTACAATTTCCATTGCTCTTTCTGTGGAAGCTTCAGAGCAAGTTATTAAATACAACTTAAAATTAGAACACACAGAACCCAGTGTCTGAGTCCAGTCTCTTTCCCACCTGTCTCAGAACATGGCCTTGCTCTACCCCATACAACACTGGCAGGGGGAAACCCTGTCCTCTGCAGGCATGGACGTGGTCTGGAATCAGTTGACCAATATTTTAACTCTATCGTTTGCTCCTAACAAACTACCTCCGGGATTACTCATTTCCTATTGTCTATCAACTGATTGCTGCCAACTCTCTCTCTCTTGTGAATGTAGACAGTCACACACTCCCAAATGCCCATAGGCACAGCCCTCCAGCTCCATATTTGAACCTTATATTGGAAGCATTATACCCTCTCCTGGTTAAAGGCCAGACCTGAGACCGGGTTGGCACATCGCCCAGTCTCCAACCATGGCCATTAAATACAATTCCCTGCTCCCAGGCCATTTGAATTTTTGCAAACGCTACAGAGTAAAACATAAAATATAACAATCCACAAATCCTGCAACAAGAATGGCCCGAGGCTGAGCTCAGATAACGTCCCAACCACATAGGATTTGAACAGGGCAAAGTAACTCAGAGGAGCCTGGTCACTCCAGCAGGGCACCCAACCCTGTGGGGAGTCCTGACCCAGGTACTCAAGGCCCTGATCTCCAGCAAGCGGGTCAGCTGCTACCTGGTCCAGCAGCCGATAGATGGTGATGCCGGAGGCCTCCACTAGCAGCTGCCAGTCGGCCCCGGCCAGGGCCGGCTGCTGGAGCTCGGCACAGGCCTCCCGGAACTGCTCGTCCGAGAAGCAGCCCGCAGCCCCTGCCATCCTTCCGCAGCCTGGATACAGCGCCCCAAGCGCAAGTCACCCACAGGCCCTTAGTGAGCTCCCGAGCAGTGTCACAAGGTGGCCCCAACCTGATTGGCGGGGAAGAGAGAAGGCGGGACTTGGCCTTGGAGGCAAGGCGTTGGGGGTGGCAGGGAGTGCAAACTGGGTGGGGTGGAGCAGAGGCTGGAGGGTGGAGCGGAGACTGGAGGGGGTGTGTCCGGGCCTCAAAATGGGCGGGGCTAAGCAAAGGTTGAGAGGAATAGAAAAAACTAGAAAACAGCTAGAGCTTAACTGGGGAAAGAAGAAAGGACTGAAGTAATAGACTTCTTTGGATGGAGGCGCTCACTGTGTGGCCGGCTGCTATCTGAAGATGGAAGGTGAAAGGACACCAGCCCATTAGAATACGTCCTGGCAGGTCTTGCCCTTCTCCTCTATTCCCTTAGCCTTGCTAAAAACTGTTACATTGCATTCCTAAAGGTAGGCACCATGGTTTATTCCTTTATTTGGCCACTTCCTCCTCCTGAGGCTGACGACCATGGCCCAGCAATCAAAAGCCCCCTTTGGCTCACCTAATTAAAATGCACAATTAAAATTAAACACCTCATCCTAACACGGGGGTTTTGCCCTTTACTTTTATAAGTGGCCATTTGCCTTTGTGCCACATCTGTCTCCTCTCTATCCAGAGGCAGCCTTTGTCCCTCCAGGAAAATACCCCTGCCCTATTTCCCTTGCCCCCTTCCTCCTCTCCCTAGTCCTCTATCTGCTTTACTATCTACAACATCCTCTTCCATTCTAACACAGACCTTCCCCCTTTTCCTCTTCTTAAACATTACACCTGCAAAGTCATTTGATGCTGTTTTTCTGCCTCCGTCAGAAAGCAACCACTTTAACTTTTCTTTGTGAAAACAGGTGTTTGGTGTGTTCTGGGAGGGAGTCCCCTTCAGAAGGTTTCTTTGGAAGACTTGGGGGGAGAGGCAGCAGAATATAATAGCTTAAAAATCTCAGAGGTCAGATGCTCAGACGATATTTCAATAAAATCACTCTTCCTTCTGCTACTCATTTTGAAACACTATTTTGGGTATCCGTTCCGTGGAATCATCAGAAGGCCAAGGGAGTGAGTACATGGCACAAAAATAGTTAAGGAACTGAATCAGAATGGGTAAGATTTGCCACCCCAGTGAGAACAAAGCATTTGAGAGATATGGGATCTGAATTTCTGCAGCTTGCATAACTGAAGTCTCATGGTATTACCGAATCTCTCAGCAGAAAACTGTGCCTGGCTTTGAGTATAGTAGGTAGTTTAAAGATCAATGCAACAGCCTCATGGTTGCCAATAAGGTCTGGAAAGCCATGTTGCCTAATAAGTAAACTGGGTCAAGGACTATGCTACTTTTCATAGTTGAGGGCCATAGAATATGCTTCCCAGGGCCTAGCAAAGTAATGTGTAATGATTATACCCTCTTGTTCTGCAGGAATAAACTGAAATGCAGTTCTTTCTATACTAGAGGGAAAAAAAGTTCTTAGAAAAACTATTTAAAGCCAGATTACAAAGGCTCCAGGATCCCATTGGCCACAACACAGATAAATCACTACTCTATTCAATTCAGCATGGGTTTTCTTGTTGAGGGCAGAAGGAAAGTAAGATATTCCTAAACTAAACACAAAAAAAATGTTTCAAGACAAATTTTCTATTTTAATGGTGGCTTGTAAGCTTTCTCGGATTTGTAAATACTATATTTGACTCAAACTAAAATCTAATGCTAAAACAAATAATCCCATCACCCTCAAAAAAGAAAGAAAGAAAGAAAGAAAGAAAGAAAGAAAGAAAGAAGCACTGTGGATGATTTTAAAATATCTTCAAGGAATCTATTCTGAAAGTATGCTTTCATAAAATTGTAGCTTTGTCACTACAGAACAAGTGATGAATGAAGACAGGTCCAACAGAGTGGACAGTACCACAGACAACATAAGACACCAAATTCAAACTGCATTCATTGTCTGTGTTTAAATAGGTCATCTTACACAAACACACACCCCACATTTATTTTATTATAGTCAATGGAGGATATAATAATTTTTACAAGTAATTTTTCTTTCATGCAGTCCAAAAACTCTAGAATGACTTAGAAAGGGGTCTAAATAGGCCTTTTCTTGACAGTTTACACAAATAAATCAATCTGTCTCCTTCATGAGAAAAGGCCACTTTTCAGGGCATTGGAAGGACAAGTTCTCACAATGCAAACCAGACTGGTCTTGAGCTCACAGATATCTCTGCCTCCTGTATGCTGGACAGTGTCAGGGGATGTTCTTCTGTATATATGTTTCTCTTATTGGTTGATGAATAAAACATCCATTGGCTAGTGGCCATGCCAATAGGTAGGGCTACCAGATGAGGAGACAGAGAGAGGCAGCCAGAGAGAGAGATGCCATGCTGCCGAAGGAATAACAGGCCGGATTACGGGTAAGCCACATATTCATGGCAATACATAGATTAATAGAAATGGATTAATAATTAAGAGAGAGCTAGCCATTAAGAAGCCTAGCCATTGGCCAAACAGTTTAATAATTAATATAGCATCTATGTGTTTATTTGTGTTGAATCGTCTTCAAGACCAGGCAGAACAGAAACTTCCATCTTCAAATGATAATTTAAAAAAAAATCCAGACTAATATAGTTAGCTAGTAGCAAGCTCCATTCTCTGACCTCCAGACAGGCTTTATTTGTGCAAGAAAGATATCACCACGGGAGGGAAGATACTTTTTAGATGAACTGACCACACAGTGACCTAAGCTCCTGGTCTCTGATAGACAAGCTAGCTAAGAAAAGCCAAACAGTTCTATACACACTGCATGGCTGAGAACAGAGACATACACTCTAGATTTTAGCACAAAAGAGACAAAGTGAAAGCCATGGAGAGATACAAACACCAGAACGTCTCAGAATGGATGGCTCTGCCCCATTCCTTGCTCACCCTTCATCCTTGTTCTCCATGCTCTGTTTCTGGAGAAACTCTTGCTTAGAAGAGGCTGCTGAGCTGGAGCAGAAGAATGAACCCTTTCTGGCTCCCTTTTGGCACCTGCATGCTTGCAGAAAATATGCCTTAGGTTATGCGGTAAAGCCAAGGGACAGGTTCTACCCCTAGTGTCAAGCCACTGGGAGTGCTGTCATTCTATGCTTACCAAAGAATGTCCTCTCAACAGCTTAGTGTGGCAAAGGTGACATGCTGGTCCACTGCAGATTTGGATTTTAATCTATCTCCCCTTGAGGCTGTAGGAAGAATGTGTGCTTCCCTGAGAGATGGGAGATGTCATTCTGTAAATATGTTTCTCATACTGGTTAATGAATAAAGCACTTTTGGCCAATAGGAAAGCAAGAGAGGAGGGACTAGGAGTTAAGGAGGAAAGAGGAAGTAGTAAGGAGGAGTCAAGATGGAAGACAGAAAGAACAGAATGTGGGCTGGCTCTCTCTCCGGTAAGATAAGACCACGTGGAGATTAATAGAAATGGGTTAATACTTAAGACAGAGCTAGCCGATAAGAAACAACTGGCCAACAGAATAATATCAAATACAGAGTCTCTGTGCATTAATTGGGGCTGGTGCGGCAGTGGGACAAGACCGGCAGCAGAGGAAAAACTACTCCTTACACCTGAGGATGAGGACTTTCTCCTATCATCTGAAAGACAGGGAGAGTTCAGAGGATTCAGGCTTTATAAGGGGACACTGGTCCAGCTTTCCCACCTCCTGTTGCTACAACAGCATCTTCAGTGAAGCACAAGCATTAGTACCTCAGTCTGCAGTCCTTGAACTTTCTGTCTTCTGGGGTCTTAGGACCCAAATACAACAAGTCTGCTTTGATGTTTGCACCCAGAATTTGTGAGAGCCACAAAATAAATAAATAAGTAGACACAGAATTTGACTCAGGACCACTGAACCTCTGGGCTGCTGCCAGAATCAAAACAGGGAAATATTTTCACAACCAGAGTACATGGAATTGTCATAAAACATAACACCCACAGAAGATGGGTATACAAAATAGAGTAAGAAGAAATGGACACTGGGGGGGGGGTTGTTCCATTGGTAGAACACCTGATTAGCATGCATGAAGCCCCAGCTTTAGCCCCCAACAGCAGGGGGTGGGAGGGAACCTGAGGGAACAACTCTCCATATGAAAGGATTAGAAAGAGGCTTTAATCTTTTGATGAGAGCCAAGGAACCCCCAAACCAGGCCAACATGAAAGGAATTAGTTAATACATTTATAACAAACTAAAGAAGGTCCAGGTCATAATAAAAGAACTGAACACTAAGAAAAAGTGTTCTTTGACTTCAACTTGATAAAAGTAGAACTTCTACAAATGGGAAATGCAGTAACTAAAATGAAAACTTAAGCATTGTCAAATTGTTGGCTTGCTCAAATGTAAGAGTAACTGATACAGGAATGAACCAGTGTCCATAAGAGAAGAGCATGCAGAGATAAAGAAACTGAAAGTATGAATGAGTGACTAAGATACACGTCGCTATGTAGAAATGTCAAGTATTACTGACTGGGATCCCAAAAGGAGAGTGAGTATAAAGAACTTGGGATATAGGATGAGTAGGTTGGGGAGGAAATAGAAAATGGGAGAGGAAAAAGGACACAGGAAAATAAAACAGAACTAAAACTTTCAACTGCATGTAAAATATCACAAGGCAAGGTAGGTAGATAGGAGATAATGATTAATTTTGGTGTTGTTTAACTGTGCACATAAAAATAAGGATTTGAACTCCCAAATATCAACAATAAAAGAAAATGAACTATGCAAAAAAAATGAAACAAACAAACAAAAAAGTATGATATTTAAGTAGGAATTTCACCAAAGAAATGTTACCAAGCAACATGGATAGATGTTTGGTATCATTGCTCCTTAGCATAATTTAAATTAAAACTGGAGATGGGGTGGAGAGATGGCTTAGTAGGTAAGAGCGCTGGCTGTTCTTCCAGAGGTGCTAAGTTCAATTCCCAGCAACCATATGGTGGCTTACAACCATCTATATGGTTTCTGATGCCCTCTTCTAGGATAAAGATGTACATGCAGATAGAGGACTCAAGCATAAGAAGACAAATCTTAAAAGCAACAACAAC